TGCTAAATGAAGCTCCTAGTTTCAGTAGTAGGAGCCAAGCAGGAACATTTCTTACTTCCTGAAGGAAACAATACAAATGTGTCCAGTTTGCTAATTTTTGTCTGGTAGAGATCGAATTTCTACCAGAGGATACTATGACCATGAAACCTGAACTACTTGTCATGAACTCACTGCCCTACGATCCTGTTGGTCACATTTTTAAATTATTCTCTCCATTACTTTATCGTTGGATATAATTACCATATATGGAATCAGCTCAATTAAGCCTGAAGATCCAGGAACCATTTCTTAAGAACATCACTTGCTCCCTATCATGACTATATTTTAATTTTTATTTCCTCTCTCAATCTGCACATATAGCCCATATCAAGTTTTTTATGACCAGTTGACCCTGGGTTTAAAAAAAATAGTCAAATTCCTTCACAAATTATTATTCTGTATAACCGTTAACATGTCCTGTGATGGCACTGAAGCTCCATTTAGGCCTATCTCTCGAAGACAGTACAAAGAAAAACTACTGTTAGTGAGAAAAACATCAAGTTGAACATTAAATTATCTGATTTTAGGGTGAAAACTTTAGCCAGTTGGTCAGGCATTAGAAAAATGGTGAATTTATTTTATTTGTTATATTTAAGGCTTCTGGATACTTATAATTTACAAATCCCAAGGGACTGCATTTACCACTAACTTTTCCATTCTTTGATTTTTCTTCCTTCCTTAATCTTAAACAGCCACATATTCATTGAAAATCTTTTTTTTTCACATAATTCTACCTATATTCTCTGTATCTCATCATTATTCACTTTGTTGGTTTAATCCTAGCATTATTTTACATTTTGAACATCTTACATTACTTCTTAAGTAGCATAAAATTATCGTGGCTGCATAGTTAGATATGAATGACTCCAGATTAATCACAACTGAGACATTTTTTCTTTGCATAATGCCTTGTATCATTTTCCATATTCTCCTATTCTGTTAGAGGTATGAACAGAAAACACAAATCTCCAGATTTCTCTGAATTTCATCATGTTAAAATGTTCTCTACACAAACAGTGCTATTGATTTTTTTTTTTTTTTTGGAAAGGAAAAACTGTAATCTTTATGTTTTATTTAATTCCCAGATTGTACGACATCCTGAGGTCTTGTTATCTTACAGCCTGGAGAAAGAAGTATTCCTGATGGGCAAGTGCATGATGGGAATTCTATCTGACTAGGATGTTCTTTCCCCTGAACAAGGCCTGAATTCTACATTTGGATGGCAAGTATTCAGTCCCTTCCTCAGAGCATAATGTAGCATTCTACTAGGTAACAGATCTTTTCTTCTTCTTCTTCTTCATGTGCTTCAAACCTGATCCAAGTGCTCAGAGCCTTTTGAAGTCAAAGGAAGCTCTGCATCCAGAGAAATTCTTATGTCAGAGACAAACACTCTCAAAATAAATGAGATAAACGGAAAGAAATTTTAGTGGGGAAAGTGAGGTCAAACCCTTTTAATATATTGCCCTGTGTTGACATCACAGTGGTTGAGAGAGTTTTGTACACAAATCAGCAAAGCTATCAGTGGTGAAAAGGAAAGAGGTTAAAAAAAGAATAATCAAACAAGAAGGGTTTCATAGGTTGAACTCTATTTAGACTATGAGTTCATGCATAAATGTAATAATTACCCTCTCTTGGTTGGATATGCCAAGTTTGAGTCAATTAACTAATAGTCAAAAGGCATAAAATCTCAACTTGAACTTGATATTTGTATTGGTTTTATTGTCTTATAGGATATTAGGAAGATTAGATTCATTTAAATTTTTGCCATTAAAGATCCTCATCTCTAAGAATATTAGGACTAAGAATTATGGTGAATTTATCATTCTATGAACATTAAACTAAGCAAATCAAATTTTGCATTAAACTGCTGTACACTGGTCTCAGATACTTCCATCTAATTACTGACAAATGTTGCTAGTCTCTGAATAGCTCTCATGCTTAGGGGGAAAAATTATCACCATGCCAAAGTTAAATTACTTACAGATAACACACCTAGAGAGGCTATTTTATTATTGATCCATTGATGCCTGAACAGAAAGAATCATAGAAAAATTTATTTACATTTGGAGTATTTTATGAAACCAGAGAAGGATGTAAAATAGTCATGGTTTTCTAACTAAAATGTTAAATATAAATTGTCTGACATACATTAAAATTTACTTTCAAATATTAAGAGAATTTAAGTCATTCTTAGCACAAACATACTTCAGATATACCAGGAGAAACTTGTTTGTCCAAAAACATTTATTCCACAGCTGTATAATCCCCTACTTAACTATCAATCAGAAAAACTAAAAACACAGCTATAAAAATGAGGAGATGAGATTTAAGCTGCTAGGACTTCCTGTGATATGACTTTAGGTAGGAACAAGTTTATAGTTGGCTTTTTAAAATAATTGTGTTTCAACATCTTTCTATATGAAGTTTATTGAAACTAAGCAAGAAGGTATTAATGAGTTCAACTGTCTTTACCATTATTGTTCCTAAACTTCAATATGCCAACATGGAGAATAATAGTGTCTCTCTCTCTCTCTCTCTCTCTCTCTCTCTCTCTCTCTCTCTCTCTCTCTCTCACACACACACACACACACACACACACACACACACACACACCACAGTTTTATTCTATGGAAAATAGTCAATCCATTGTTGTAAATATAGGCTTTGATTTATAACAAAATGGTGCATAATCTTTTGTAATACCTATGTTGTTGGCATTTTTCATATGGTAAGGTACAATTTATTTTGATTTAATCTGCACATTACTGGAAGGTACTCATGAAAGATATAAATGCTGCCAAGGACACAGAAGGCATTTCAATCAAGAACAACTGGGTCAGTCCTGAAATCATGTCAAATTTGAATTTTTAAACATTGAAGATGGAGACATAATGGTTATTTTTAAACCTGCTCTTGTTGAGCAGTTTTGGTTTTATACTATGATAAATTTACCATAATCAGAATAAATCTTAGCTTTAAATTCAATTAAATAAAATGCTTAAATCTGAGAAAGTATTTCAAGTTTAATAAAATCTTGCTGCAATTCTACTTAGAATTAAATAAAATTTCCCTGTTTCTTTTTATATTTTATCATAAAATTACATAACATTGAAATAATTGTTTCAAAGGAAAACAGTTATCAAAACCTTGACCCAGAAATATTCTCCACATTTTGTATTACCATGGAGATTTTGGGCATATCTCTACATATTTGCATACCGCAGCTATCATACTACATATGAACCTTTGCAAAGTACTTGTTTTCTTCTAGTCCACCTAAAATTCGCATCAGGTTCTTCACACTTTTTCAGGTAGGGAAAGGATACAATATTCATCAAGATCCATTTTTTATGCCATATACATAATTATAAATCTTATTTTACAAGAAGCTAAGCTTTAGAAATAACCAATTAATAAATAATAAAATTAGAACTCAAGCAAAATGGACTCAAGATCAAAGCTTTTGATGTATAGGCAAATGCTCTTAACATCTGACAGCCTTGTGGTCATAACTATATTTGGACATTTTTCTTTTTCTGCTTTAAGAAGAAAACAAAATCATAGAACTGTACATTAGTCTTAATAGAGTTTGTTCTTTGTTCCATGAAGAATTCAAATAATCCTGATCTTGAGGCAACACAAAGTTTTCTAAGTCTCTACAGGAAGAAGGTAATGCTTTCTACCCTTTTGTTTACTGCATCACAGTAAACTTTCCACACCTACTGTCCTGCTATTAGGCATAAGATATCCTCATCAGCAAGCTGAAGTAGACATCAGTTACTTTACAAAGGAAATCACAGCAGAAGAATAACTGGTGTAACTAACATCAAGCTTGATAGGAAATATTTTCATAAAGTTTCTGCAGATCTGTTCTACCCAAAGTTGACCAAAAGGAGAAAGCACTAGGCTTGGAAATACATCTTCTATGTCAAATCTTTTTTCATCCACTTTCTGGACAGATGATCTTTCATAAATCTTATCTACCCAACAGAAGAGGATAGATACAGAGAATGTAGTAGTTACCAAATTTTGCTGAACATTAGAATCTCCTGGGAAGCTTTTGAAAAACCTCTTCAGGTTGTAACTTATGGGGAGTAAATAAAAATGTTCAGGCATGGAATCCAAGTCTCATTATGTTTAAAAACATTCATGTGATTCTAATGCACAACAAAGTTTGGAAGTCACTGAGGTATTTAATAAATTTACGGAGCTTCTTTTAAGATAAAGAAAAGTGGGTGAAGCATAAGTTTTATATTATATAATACTTTATAAGGAGTTATAAACTATATCAAAACTAAGTACAGTGATCACAAACACACACACACACACACACACACACACACACACACACAATCACTCTATTTTGCCAGAGTTGCAGGAACAATTTAACAGATTTGTTGTTGTTTCAGTTTATTTTAAGCTTCCTTCAACCTTATTTCAAACTTTTTAAATTTATTTTCCTTCTCTATTAAAAATTAAGGAAAAGTATCATCTTGACCATCATAAAGAAAATAATAAGTCCAAAGTTACTTACTTCAATTCTACTTCTCATTTAAAAGAAACAAAAAATTACACTCCCAGATATTTTATTCCAATAGGCTGCCATAATATTTTTGAAGACAACAACCTATTTAGTAAATCTTTCTTGGCTAGATTTTATTCATTGCCTGATGACACAAATTATTTCTCTGCTGTTTTAACTCAATGTGTCAGATTCAGCCAGATTATGCAGCATACTCTTTTAATACCATCAATTTTCATAAACATCTAATTAGATTTACCAAAAGGCTAATACCATTTATGAAACTGAACTGCAAATAAGATGTTAGTGCATTAAAAACACCTTCTATATAAACTTTGTTGTTTAACACAGTCCTTGATGCATCCATTTACAATAAAATTACACTACACTGTAACTGTAATCTGCCTCTTGGCTGTGACTCCTGTACTGGGACCTGTACCTTTGTGGGCTTGTTAACATCCATGCTCTCTTTGAATTTCTCCTGCATAGTTGCTGCAAGTTGACAGAGCAAAGCACCATTATCCAATTTCTCCATAAACGTTTCTGCTGTGATCTCCTTCCCTGAAATAACCAAAAAGGAACATTAAAAAAGCATGATCATTCCCTAACAGAAATGTCAGATTTGTGCTAAAGAACATATTTTATATTAATATTTCTCACTAATATTTCTATTCCAACTGAGAATAGGATTTAACATAAAGAATGGTTTCTTAAGATAGGAATTGAACATAATAAATGGTTTCTTAAGAATTTCTACTATTGCATTATAGTGTACATAACAGTGGGGTTCATTTTGTATATTCATACAGGGATGGAATATATTTTTTTCCACTTCAGTCCCAAGTACTTTCTCTTTCCTTCCCTCCTTTTCCCCTCTGTTCCTCTTCCTCCATTGTACTAATTTTCCTTCCATTCATAGCTTTATAGACATATGTAAAGGTGAAATTTATTGTATTAATACATGTACATAGCATAATTTGATTAATTTCATTCCACAATTCCTCCCTTTTCAGATTTTCATTTGGTCGCAGGAATCTAAATATTTTATGTTTTTATAATTAAGTTCTAACATCATAAAAATGTATTTCAAATTAAAGGGATAAATGATATCCTGGGTGAAAGAGCCTCACCATTTCAGAATCAGGGGAAATGAAAACCAACTAGTGTTACATCCTGGGAACAAATCTTTACTCCTCACACTTCTGATAGAGCCCTAATATCCAGAGTATACAAAGAACTCAAAAAAATTAGACAAAAAGACAACAAATAACCCAATCAACAAATGGGCCAAGGACCTGAACAGACACTTCTCAGAGGAGGACATACAATCAATCAATAAGTACATGAAAAAATGCTCAACATCGCTAGCAGTCAGAGAAATG